CAAATGGTCCTCAAAAGAAAGCAGGGGTAGCCATCCTTAATATCAGATAAACTAAAATTTAGCCCAAAGACTGTAGTGAGAGATGAAGAGGGACACTATATCATACTTAAAGGATCTATCCAACAAGAGGACTTAACAATCCTCAATATATATGCCCCGAATGTGGGAGCTCCCAAATATTTAAACCAATTAATAACCAAAGTGAAAAAATACTTAGATAACAATACACTTATACTTGGTGACTTCAATCTAGTGCTTTCTATACTCGATAGGTCTTCTAAGCACAACATCTCCAAAGAAACGAGAGCTTTAAATGATACACTGGACCAGATGGATTTCACAGATATCTACAGAACTTTACATCCAAACTCAACTGAATACACATTCTTCTCAAGTGCACATGGAACTTTCTCCAGAATAGACCACATACTGGGTCACAAATCGGGTCTGAACTGATACCAAAAGACTGGGATCGTCCCCTGCATATTCTCAGACCATAATGCCTTGAAATTAGAACTAAATCACAACAAGAAGTTTGGAAGGACCTCAAACACGTGGAGGTTAAGGACCATCCTGCTAAAAGATGAAAGGGTCAACCAGGTAATTAAGGAATAATTAAAAACTTCATGGAAACTAATGAGAATGAAGATACAACCGTTCAAAATCTTTGGGATGCAGCAAAACAGTCCCGAGGGGGAAATACATCGCAATACAAGCATCCATTCAAAAACTGGAAAGAACTCAAATACAAAAGCTAACCTTACACATAAAGGAGCTAGAGAAAAAACAGCAAATAGATCCTACACCCAGCAGAAGAAGAGAGTTAATAAAGATTTGAGCAGAACTCAACAAAATCGAGACCAGAAGAACTGTGGAACAGATCAACAAAACCAGGAGTTGGTTCTTTGAAAGAATTAATAAGATAGATAAACCATTAGCCAGCCTTATTAAAAAGAAGAGAGAGAAGACTCAAATTAATAAAATCATGAATGAGAAAGGAGAGATCACTACCAACACCAAGGAAATACAAACGATTTTAAAAACATATTATGAACAGCTCTACGCCAATAAATTAGGCAATCTAGAAGAATTGGACGCATTCCTGGAAAGCCACAAACTACCAAAACTGGAACAGGAAGAAATAGAAAACCTGAACAGGCCAATAACCAGGGAGGAAATTGAAGCAGTCATCAAAAACCTCCCAAGACACAAGAGTCCAGGGCCAGATGGCTTCCCAGGGGAATTCTATCAAACATTTAAAGAAGAAACCATACATATTCTACTAAAGCTGTTTGGAAAGATAGAAAGAGATGGAGTACTTCCAAATTCGTTCTATGAGGCCAGCATCACCTTAATTCCAAAACCAGACAAAGACCCCACCAAAAAGGAGAATTGTAGACCAATATCCCTGATGAACATGGATGCAAAAATTCTCAACAAGATTCTAGCCAATAGGATCCAACAACACATTAAGAAAATTATTCACCATGACCAAGTAGGATTTATTCCCGGGACACAAGGCTGGTTCAACACTCGTAAAACAATCAATGTGATTCATCATATCAGCAAGAGAAAAACCAAGAACCATATGATCCTCTCATTAGATGCAGAGAAAGCATTTGACAAAATACAGCATCCATTCCTGATCAAAACTCTTCAGAGTGTAGGGATAGAGGGAACTTTCCTCGACATCTTAAAAGCCATCTACGAAAAGCCCACAGCAAATATCATTCTCAATGGGGAAGCACTGGGAGCCTTTCCCCTAAGATCAGGAACAAGACAGGGATGTCCACTCTCACCACTGCTATTCAACATAGTATTGGAAGTCCTAGCCTCAGCAATCAGACAACAAAAAGACATTAAAGGCATTCAAATTGGCAAAGAAGAAGTCAAACTCTCCCTCTTCGCCGATGACATGATACTCTACATAGAAAACCCAAAAGCCTCCACCCCAAGATTGCTAGAACTCATACAGCAATTTGGTAGCGTGGCAGGATACAAAATCAATGCCCAGAAATCAATGGCATTCCTATACACTAACAATGAGACTGAAGAAAGAGAAATTAAGGAGTCAATCCCATTTACAATTGCACCCAAAAGCATAAGATACCTAGGAATAAACCTAACCAAAGAGGTAAAGGATCTATACCCTAAAAACTATAGAACACTTCTGAAAGAAATTGAGGAAGACACAAAGAGATGGAAAAATATTCCATGCTCATGGATTGGCAGAATTAATATTGTGAAAATGTCAATGTTACCCAGGGCAATTTACACGTTTAATGCAATCCCTATCAAAATACCATGGACTTTCTTCAGAGAGTTAGAACAAATTATTTTAAGATTTGTGTGGAATCAGAAAAGACCCCGAATAGCCAGGGGAATTTTAAAAAAGAAAACCATATCTGGGGGCATCACAATGCCAATTTCAGGTTGTACTACAAAGCTGTGGTCATCAAGACAGTGTGGTACTGGCACAAAAACAGACACATAGATCAATGGAACAGAATAGAGAACCCAGAAGTGGACCCTGAACTTTATGGTCAACTAATATTCGATAAAGGAGGAAAGACTATCCACTGGAAGAAAGACAGTCTCTTCAATAAATGGTGCTGGGAAAATTGGACATCCACATGCAGAAGAATGAAACTAGACCACTCTCTTGCACCATACACAAAGATAAACTCAAAATGGATGAAAGATCTAAATGTGAGACAAGATTCCATCAAAATCCTAGAGGAGAACACAGGCAACACCCTTTTTGAACTTGGCCACAGTAACTTCTTGCAAGATACATCCACGAAGGCAAAAGAAACAAAAGCAAAAATGAACTATTGGGACTTCATCAAGATAAGAAGCTTTTGCACAGCAAAGGATACAGTCAACAAAACTCAAAGACAACCTACAGAATGGGAGAAGATATTTGCAAATAACATATCAGATAAAGGGCTAGTTTCCAAAATCTATAAAGAACTTATTAAACTCAACACCAAAGAAACAAACAATCCAATCATGAAATGGGCAAAAGACATGAAGAGAAATCTCACAGAGGAAGACATAGACATGGCCAACATGCACATGAGAAAATGCTCTGCATCACTTGCCATCAGGGAAATACAAATCAAAACCACAATGAGATACCACCTCACACCAGTGAGAATGGGGAAAATTAACAAGGCAGGAAACAACAAATGTTGGAGAGGATGCGGAGAAAAGGGAACCCTCTTACACTGTTGGTGGGAATGTGAACTGGTGCAGCCACTCTGGAAAACTGTGTGGAGGTTCCTCAAAGAGTTAAAAATAGACCTGCCCTACGACCCAGCAATTGCACTGTTAGGGATTTACCCCAAAGATTCAGATGCAATGAAACACCGAGACACCTGCACCCCGATGTTTGTAGCAGCAATGTCCACAATAACCAAACTGTGGAAGGAGCCTCGGTGCCCATCGAAAGATGAATGGATAAAGAAGATGTGGCTTATGTATACAATGGAATATTACTCAGCCATTAGAAACGACAAATACCCACCATTTGCTTCAACGTGGATGGAACTGGAGGGTATTATGCTGAGTGAAGTAAGTCAGTCAGAGAAGGACAAACATTGTATGTTCTCATTCATTTGGGGAATATAAATAATAGCGAAAGGGAATAGATGGGATGGGAGAAGAAATGTGTGGGAAATATCAGAAAGGGAGACAGAACATAAAGACTCCTAACTCTGGGAAATGAACTAGGGGTGGTGGAAGGGGAGGAGGGCGGGGGGTGGGGGTGAATGGGTGACGGGCATTGAGGGGGCACTTGATGGGATGAGCACTGGGTGTTATTCTGTATGTTGGTAAATTGAACACCAATAAAAAATAAATGTATTATAAAAAATAAAAATAAAAATAAAAATAAAATAAACAAAAATTTTTAATAAATAATAATATACGGTGCCTCGGATTTGGCAAAAATCGCCAAGATGACGGTGCATAAGTGACTGAAATTTAAGAAGTATTGCCCTTTTCTGTGGAAAGAAATAGTTAAGGGTACCATCAGTTAGATAACCAAGCCAGAAACTGGGCAGTCATCCTATACTATTCCTTCTCCCGTCTACTTTGTCCCCATCGCTGACCTGCATCAAGTCTCCACACATAAAGCAGATTGAAAGCAGTGCTGTCCTGGTTGAGCTCTTTCGTGGCCACTCAACCTTTTAGTCATCCTCCATGACAACCCCAAGACACTCCTGTTAGTCTAGGGCCCCGGGGGAGACTGTTTGATAACCACAAGGCAAAACAATGTGATTGGGACTGCCAAGCTAAAAAGATCTGAGGTGGAATCCTACTGCTGCCACTTAACTAGCTGTATGCCTCTAGTCATGTCACAACCTCTCAGAGACTGAGTTTCATCATCCGTAAAATGGCAGCAGTAGATCCTAGCAACAGCGCTGTTCTAAGGATTAAATTAGTCACTGTATAAAGTAATATAACATTGCTCCTGGCACATAACAGGCATTCAATACGATTTCCCTTACCACAGCACAGAGGATCTCCCTCCATGACCTGGCTGCTGCCTACTACTCCCTGTTTCAGCTTCATTTCTAGCTGTACCTCCCAAACCCTAAACCTTATACCCCAGATATGTTCGGCTCCCCAATCATAGCATCCTGGTTCAGATTTCCGAGTTCTTGATCACACTGATTTCCCCTACTATAAATGCTCACCCATCCATTTATTTCACAAATACTTTTTCATTCTCTCCATTATATCCTCCTTGTCTGTAGTCTCCTATCATAGAATATTTTATTGTACTGATTTGTCTACAGGTCTGTCTCCTTACTCAGGTCTGTGAACTTCTAGAGGGCAGAGACCATGTGTACTTGAGTTTGTATTCCCAACACCTAGCACAAAACCTAGAAAATGGTAGGTGTCCCATTAATGTTGGCTAAGTGACAATAATAGAAAGCAAATTATAAGTGAAGCAACATCTTATATTTCTATAACAAGTTCTCAACACTTACATGGATAATGCAAGCATCTTTCGATACACCCGTTTTGGTAATAAAACATCCTATCGGGAATCCCGGTGAGCAGTACTTTCTTCCATCCTCAATATCCTGACACCATATTACTGGCATATTATCAATAATCCTAAATATAAATATTTTAAAAATAAAAGATTTAACAACCATTTCACACCAAGCAGTACCAATATCTTCTGGCATATATTAAAGTTCAAATTTTAAGTCAAAGTCACAAAGAATAGTATACCATTTCAAGTATCTATTAAAACTACTTCTTTATAAAAAAACAAAACTACTTCAGAAAAGACTTCAAAAATTAAGTCATGTTATCTCAGTGTTATCTCAAACCTACCAGTGATGTTGATAATTTAGCTGCATTCCTTTCTTCAAAAAAGCCAGCTTTCTCATGTGGTTGTCATTTTCTGTATCATAGGATTTTACACAAACTTTTGTACATGTTTCCGTTTTGTTAAAAGAAAACTGTTAAGAAAGTATTAAAAGAGTAAAAGATTTGAGTAAATTTTATGAAACAAGTATCACAAAATAAGCACTTTATCTTATAGATAAAACTTTCCCTCAGAGACTTCAGTGTACCATCATCCTCAGTACTATCTCCTTTGAATTTCCATTCATATCTGAAATGATTATACTACACACATGCACACACATAATATGCTTTTACCACTAAGCAGAATTTGCCTTCTTCAAGAACATATAAGGTGGGATATAATATCCACTGTAGCTTCCTAAAAGCACCTTGATATATATAGAACCCTTTACTTAAAAGTAGAAATAAAATCCATTGTAGTGATGATCACACAACACTGATTATACTAAAAAACATTAAATTGGACACTTTAAGGGGCGCCTGGCTGTCTCTGTCAATAGAAGATGCAACTCTGGATCCCAGGGCTATGACTTTAAGCCCCATCTTGGCTGTAGAGCTTACTTTAAAAAATTGGACACTTTAAGTGGATGAATTATTTGCCATATGAATGTCTCTCAATAGAGCTGTTACCAAAGAAGTGATAATAAAATATTTGATACTTTTACTATGAAACCTCTCATATACAAGTCTAGCTATGGGGGATTATCAGGGCAAAGGAGCACTGTTATCAATCAGGAAATAATGAGCAAAAAGAAACTATGAAAAATAGTTATAGTTATCACCTCATAGCCTGAAATCATACAAATATTAACCAAAAAGTTTCTTCTTGGCAACTGAAAAGAACACTGTTTTCCTTCTTTTTTTAAATACCATCATGTTTCTTCATTCCAAGGAACAGCATTTCTTGAAAAAGTTCACTTATCTATTAGGACAATGGTACTGCATGGGAGTATTTTGTACTACTTTAATTATCAAACAGCTAATGCCTGACACACAGAGCAAAGGAATAGATCAGTGGAGAACCCAGAAATAGGTCTACACAACTATGTCAGTGTGATTTTTTGACGAAGGTGCAAAAGCAATTCAGTGGAGGAAGGATAGAGAGTCTTTTCAACAGATAGTGCTAAAGCAACTGCACATTTAAGACAAAAGACCCTGAAAATCAAAACCAAAAACAAAACCTGTAATTTCATTTTTTTTATTTTAAAGATTTTATTTATTTATTTATTCATGAGAGAGAGAGAGAGAGAGAGGCAGAGACACAGGCAGAGGGAGAAGCAGGCTCCACTCAGGGAGCCCGACGTGGGACTGGATCTGGGGTCTCCGGGATCATGCCCCGGGCCAAAGGCGGTGCTAAACCGCTGAGCCACCCGGGCTGCCCCAAAACCTGTAATTTCAATCCAAACCTCATACCTTGTACAAAATAACTCAAAATAGATCACAGACTTAAATATATACAGACTTAAAACTATAAAGTTTTAGAAGAAAACATGAAAGAAAATCTTTATTAAGACCTAAAGGCTATGACATCTCCTTAGAGTTGACACCAAAAACGCAATCCATAAAAAGAAAACTTAATTATTGGACCTTATAAAAATTAATGTTTGCTCTGTGAAAGACTTAAGATGAAAATATGGGGCTGCTTGGCTGGCTCAGTTGGTAGAGCATACTACTCTTAATCTCAGAATCATGAGTTTGAGCCCCACATTGGGTATAGAGATTAGTTAAAAACAAAAAAAATAATATTTTATTTATTTGAGAGAGAGAGACAGAGAGAGCATGAGCAGGGGTAGGGATAGAGGGAGATGGAAAAGAAGACTTAATGCTGAGTGGGGAGCCCAGGTGCCCCAAACATAAAATCTTAAAAACAAACAAACAAACAAAAAAGATGATGCAGGACGTCTGGGTGGCTCAGTGGTTGAGTGTCTGCCTTTGGCTCAGAGCATGGTCCTGGGATCCTGGGATTGAGTCTGGCATCAGGCTCCCCTGCGGAGAGCCTGCTTCTCCCTCTACCTAGGTCTCTGCCTCTCTCTGTGTCTCTCATGAATAAATAAATAAAATCTTTTTTAAAAGGATGATGAAGGGCACCCCGGGTGGCTCAGCGGTTTGGCGCCATCTTTGGCCCAGGGCGTGATCCTGGAGTCCCCAGATGGAGTCCCACATCGGGCTCCCTGCATGGAGCCTGCTTCTCCCTCTGCTTGTGGCTCTGCCTCTGTGTGTGTGTCTCTCATGAATAAATGAATAAAATCTTAAAAAAAAAAGGATGATGAAAACACAAGCTACAGGCTGGGAAAAAAACTATTTGCAAGCTACTGTTGCAACAAAGGAATCACACCTCGGATATATAAGGAATTCTGAAAACTCAATAGTAAAAGGACAAACAATCCAAATAGAAAATGGGGGAAAGAGGAGATAGGGGCACCTGGGTGGCTGTTGGTTAAGCGTCGGACTCTTGGTTTCTGCTCAAGTCATGATGTCAGGGTTGGGAGATGGAGCCCTGTTGTCAGGCTCTGCACTCAGCAGGAAGTCGGCTTGAGGATTTTCTACCTCTACCCCTCCCCCACTCTCTCTCTCTCATTCTCTCTCTCACACACACATGCACACAGACATACACACACACACATACACACACCAGTGAGTACAGGTAAAACTAGTGAAATCTGAATAAGCTCTGTGTACTGTACCAATGCCTATTCCTCGGTTTTGCCATCGTACTGCAGTCATGCAAGATGGCTATCATTGGGCGAACTTGGGCACAGGGTACAATGAATGACAGCTCCCTGTTCATGGTTTTTTGGTAGCTTCCTGTGAATCTAGAATTATTTCAAAATAAATAATTTTAAAAGAACCTAAAGCCTGAGGATCCCTGGGTGGCTCAGCAGTTTGGCGCCTGCCTTTGGCCCAGGGCGCAATCCTGGAGTCCTGGGATCGAGTCCCACATCGGGCTCCCGAGTCCCGGGATCAAGTCCTGCGTCGGGCTCCCGGCATGCTTCTCCCTCCTCCTGTGTCTCTGCCTCCCTCTCTCTCTCTATGTCTATCATAAATAAACAAATATTTTAAAAAGAAAAAGAACCTAAAGCCTGATGGTCTCCCTAGTGTATACATAAATTAAAATTGAGTGAACTATATACTTTCTTCTTTTTGTTTAGTTTAATTTAAGTAATCTCTACACCCCATGATGGGCTCAATCTCATGACCCCAAGACCAAGAGGCACATGCTCCTCAGACTGAGCCAGCCAGCCTCCCCTAAAGCATATACTTTCTTTTTTTTTAAGCATATACTTTCAATATGTGCAGTTTTTTGTACTTCAAGTAGACTTCAATGAATTTGGAAAAAAGAAGAAAATGTTAATGCCTTCATAATCATACTGCTTATGAAAACATCCTTACTCTATCCTCATATCTATTAAGATATTGAAGGTAAAATCAATAGACAATGACAGTCCGATGACATCTGCTTATACCACCATACCCAAAATATGCAGGAACAATAAAGTAAACTTTTTTTTCTTTACAAAGCAAAAATAAAATTTGAAAGGCAAAATCTTTATCTGGAACCACTACCTACTGCAGAGAATTTGAAGAGCACATTTTCATGCATTCTTCTGGCAACACCACATCCTATCTTTCCTTTTCTTCTACCTCCTTTGAAAACAAAGACACTGCAACAACTTTAAGTAGCCAGTTTTGAAAAGATTCAATTTAAAATAATATTTAATAAGATCTGCTGAATAACCTTATATGGAGATGATGTTATTCGTTCTCCAAATAGTACTTGTCCAAGATTTTCAGAAGGGTTTCTCTTTCCGGATGCTTGACAGAAGTCAAAGCTAGAGGAGAAGTTTAGGTAAGGTTAAAAAAAATCAGCAAAGAAATCTATCTTTGTAATTTGTCAAGCCTCTTCACCATTAATGGTAGATACTTCTAAAAACATGACCCAGAAAGTGTCTAATTATGATTTAAAGACCTCATTATAGATTCCTTTTTAAATTGTTTTACCTCTTATAACTATGAATTCATTATTTAAAATGCTCATGGTAGGGATCCCTGGGTGGCTCAGCAGTTTAGTGCCTGCCTTCTGCCGAGGGTGCAATCCTGAAGTCCTGGGATCGAGTCCCACGTCGGGCTCCCTGCATGGAGCCTGCATCTCCCTCTGCCTGTGTCTCTGCCTCTCTCTCTGTGTGTGTGTCTCTCTCATGAATGGATAAATAAATAAATAAATAAATAAATAAATAAATAGCTCATGGTACTGCTCTTGATGATTGTAATGTAGGTAATCAAATCTTTAAAAAAACTAACAGTATTTTCAGGGTTAAAGTTCAAATAACATAAAAATAAGCAAAGAGCAGTTTCAAATCTGTACTAATTCTAACCTGAGACATTGAGAAACTGCTATTATCAGTTCAGATCAAAGGGGAACTTAACAACATAATCCCTCTTCAAATACATGCCCACAGATTCACACACAAATCAAATGGTTACTACATGAAAAGAATTACAACTACCTTTAAGTAAATGTCAATATATAAAATTGAATATAAAATGGTAGAAGTGGGGGTCCCTGGGTGGCTCAGCGGTTTAGCGCCTGCCTTCGGCCCAGGGCTTAATCCTGGAGACCTGGGATCAAGTCCCACCTCAGGCTCCCAGCATGGAGCCTGCTTCTCCCTCTGCCTGTGTCTCTGCCTCTCTTTCGCTGTGTCTCATGAATAAATAAATAAATAAATAAATAAATAAATAAATAAATAAATCTTAAAAATAAATAAAATGGTAGAAGATAAAAATCAATGGTAGGCTTGTGTAATATTTTAAATGCTCATGCTAACACCCTACATTTAAACCTAGTATTTTGGGATCCCTGGGTGGCGCAGCAGTTTGGCGCCTGCCTTTGGCCCAGGGTGCGATCCTGGAGACCCAGAGAGAGAGAGAGGCAGAGACACAGGCAGAGGGAGAAGCAGGCTCCATGCACCGGGAGCCCGACATGGGATTTGATCCCAGGTCTCCAGGATCACGCCCTGGGCCAAAGGCAGGCGCTAAACTGCTGCGCCACCCAGGGATCCCTGTTGTTATTCTCAAATGCTTAATATTGATCTTGATGATGTGAAACTGGCTCACCACTAAACTAAGCACTTGCATCCATTAAAAACATTAGTATAAACCTTTATATCCCATGTTTTAGAAAAAAACTACAACTCTGCAATGATTTCTTAAAGCCCAAAATGTAGTAAATTTCTAATTTGCTTTTCTTAGAATAATTAAGTATAGCAACTTCCTAGATTTTTTAATAATACATTTATTTTTTATTTGTGTTCAATTTGCCAACATACAGAATAACACCCAGTGCTCATCCCGTCAAGTGCCCCCCTCAGTGCCCGTCACCCATTCACCCCCAACCCCCCCTCCTCCCCTTCCACCACCCCTAGTTCGTTTCCCAGAGTTAGGAGTCTTTATGTTCTGTCTCCCTTTCTGATATTTCCTACCCATTTCTTCTCCCTTCCCTTCTATTCCCTTTCACTATTATATTCCCCAAATGAATGAGAACATATAATGTTTGTCCTTCTCCGATTGACTTATTTCACTCAGCATAATACCGTCCAGTTCCATCCACGTTGAAGCAACTTCCTAAATTTTTAAGCATTTGTCTCACTCTGAAAGCTTTCTATCCTAATCATTTTGTTCCTGTTACTTTTATTATAAAATTACCACCATGTTTCTTAGTATATCCGGGGCTTTCATTCACTATCTTTAAAAACTTAAAACACATTTTAACACAATAATATTGGAGTTATGATATAACCAAAATTATATCAATTATATCAGATATAATTATAATACTTATAACTTACGTATTATATTCATAAGGTAGAACAGATTCTGCTGAGTCCAATCTATTTACAAATAGTGGTATGGATGACTACAAAAAGAAAAGAAAGCACTCATTAATAATACAAAATAAAGGGATGCCTGGGTGGCTCAGCGGTTGAGAGTCTGCCTTTGGCTCAGGGCATGTTCCCAGAGTCTCGGGATCAAGTCCCACATCAGGCTCCCTGCATGGAGCCTGCTTCTCCCTCTGCCTGTGTCTCTGTCTCTCTCTCTTTCATGAATAAACAAATAAAATGTTTTTTTTAAAAAAAAGAACAAGGATGTTCTTTACACAATAATATAAATTGATCTCTAAGCTATATTGTTAAATGATAAAGGCACATGAAGATGAGAACAGTATGCTCCCATTTGTGTAAATAAGAAAAAGAGGAAAAGAATAATATAAATACATAGTTGTTCATTTATTCATGAAGTCCCTAGCAGGATACATGAAAAACTGGTAATATCGGTGCTCTTCAGGGAGGGTTACTATGGACTAAAAAACCCAGGTAGATGAGACATTCACAGAAAAAAATCTCTTATCTGTCTCTATCCTTGTATATGATTCTAAGTGAGATCATTACAATCAGGAGGATGAACATTTTTGTAGACTGATACATATTTATTTTTTTTAGATTTTTTATTTATTCATGAGAGACACAGAAAGAGAGAGAGAGAGAGAGGCAGAGACACAGACAGAGGGAGAAGCAGGCTCCATGCAGGGAGCCTGTTGTGGGACTGTATCCCGGCTCTCCAGGATCACACCCTGGGCTGAAGGCAGCCCTAAACCACTGAGCCACCCAGGTTGCCCTAGACTGACATATATATCAAATTACTTTTCAAAGGCTTCAAGTTTAACTATTAAATCAATCTAAATGCTATCACAAGGCAGCAAAGAGACAAGCCCAGGAGAAGGGCCATTGCACAGGAAAAACAGACTGATCTCTTTTATAAGAACCCCAGACTATAATAAGGAGATGCAATTCCTGGTCCTAGATTGGATTCTAGTTTAGTTATTTCAGGGATAGCTAGGAAAATCTGACTATGAACTTGGCAATACATGAGATAAAGGGACACTTGGGTGGCTCAGAGGTTGAGCGTCTGCCTTTGGGTCAGGGCGTGATCCCGGATTCCCAGGATTGAGTCCCACATTGGGCTTCCTTCATGAAGCGTGCTTCTTCCTCTGCCTTTGTCTTTGCCCCTCTCTGTGTGTCTCTCATGAATAAATAAATAAAATCTTGAAAAAAAGAGAAAATATTTGCCTAGGGATACCTGGCAGCTTCAGTGGGAGGAACATGTGACTCCTGATCTTGGAGTCTTGAGATGGAGCTCCAGTTGAGTGTAGAGATGAGTTAAATAAACATTAATGAAAAAAAAAGATATCTCTGCCTAAAAAACCTAATACTGATGATAGTTACCATTTATTTAAATCTTACTAAGCAGTAGGTGTAATTGTCTGTGCTTTTCAATACATTGTCTCATTTTATTCTCACAAGTCTGAGCGGTAAATAGTATCTTGGTGTTTGCAGGTAAAGGGCCCAGGGGAGACAAAGTGCATTAACAAGAATTAAGGAGGTAAAAAGCGTGAGGCCGAAGGAGTGAGGAGTGACAGAAACATGGTGGGGATGTAACTAAGACTACAGTGAGGTAGGTGAGGGAATGAGTGAAATAGCCGATGGGGATTAAGGAGTGCACCTGTGATGAGCTCCAAGTCTTTGCATGGAAGTGTGGATGACTAAATCGTACAACTGAAACTAATAAAACACTGTATGTGAACTAGCTGGAATTTAAATAAAAAGTGAAAAAAAACCAAAAGATCACAGTGAGTGTGTGAGTCCTGAAAGGGAGAGAGTACATGGGGGACAATAGAAAAGGGAAGAAGACAGGGAGAGGAAAGAGCCAAGGCGTGGGAAGGTACGGAGCTGCGACAGAGGCGGAGGAGCTAAGAGAGATGGAGGAAGCAGCCCATAGGGAGAGAGGTGAGGGAGGAGCTCAGAGGAAGGCGGAACAAAAGGACCTTAGGGCGTTGGAGAAGGAGCACTTCTAGAAGGAAGCAAGAGAGGGCGTGCCCAGAAGGAAGAGAAAGAAGCGTGGAGTCAGGCAGGAGGGGCAGGGCCCAGAGGGGAACGGTAGAAGGAGGAGCGGGGTCTAGGGGAAGGGAAGAATGAGGGGCGGGGCCTAGATACGGGGGCGGGCCAAGAGGGAGGGGAGGGGCTGTGATGGAAATGAGGGACCGAGGGGTGGAGCCGAGAGATGGGGCGGAGCCTAGGGGAGGGGCGGGTCCGAGAGGGAGGGGAGGGGCCTTAGGGAAAGGAGGGGTGGAGCCAAGAGGGAGGAGAGGAAAAACTGAGATGAAAGGGAGAGAGCCAGGAGAACTTCTATGCTGGGGGGAAAGGAGGAGTTATGAGGACGGAGGAAGAGCCGAGCGGGAGTTGGACGAACGGAGACTAAGGGGAGGAGCCAAAAGGGAGGGAAAGAGAATCTGGGAAAAAGAGAGGTCCGGATCCTCCAAGTGCGAGGCTCAAAGATAGCGACACTGAGACACACAGTCATAGAGAGGGCTTTGGCGTTCTGGGTCAGAGGCAAAGAGCTCGCGACTATGGTCTCCCCCGGTGTGCCCCATACCCTTACCTGAACCCCTCCCCTCACATCTCACTGCCTCCCACTGGTCCTCACCTTGCAGGCTGCATTCTTTCTGGCCGCCGCCTCGCAGAAGTTAACTGGAGCCAACCCGGGGAGGTAGAAGGCCTCGATGCGGGCGGCCTGAAGCCCCAGAAACAGGCCCAACCCCAGGAGCCACCTCAGCCCTGGGAGGGCGAACCTGAGGCGGCAAGGGTTGGTTCCCATTTGGGAACCACGAGTACTCATTTGAGGAGCTGGCTCAGGGCTCAGGGACACACACTACAGGCGAGATCGAACCAGTAGAGGAGAGAAAGGGAAACGATAAGGAAGAGCTGGGTACCGGGATGAGCCGAGACCACTAGTGGGACTAGAACTCTGGGGAAAGCCAGTTATTGCGGCAAGACGGTGGCCTGGAACCCGTTGCTAGGACGCCAGGCTGTTTGTGAGCTCACGCAGTACTCATGCGTACGGTTCCCCTGAGTCTCCCCCAGCCCACCCTCCACCTTACCTCCCAGACTGCCCCCGCCCCGCGTGCCCCACCCGTAGCCGGGCACTTTCCCGGGATTGGAGGTGACTCTCGGAGCGGGGGCGGGGGCGAGGGGGACAGGATAGACTGGCTGAGAGGTCTCATAATCGCAACATCACAGCATCATAGGCTGTCGTGCCCTACCCGAGTTTGCCTCAGTCCCAAAGTAGCAGTGTTAGCCGCCCCCCACCATCCTCACTTCTCCCTGCCAGGTGGTGGGACAAGAAGGGGGGAGGGGGGGAATTCCGGGGCCAGGCTGTCCACTATGGTGGGTATTAGGCGCTTGAAATGCAGCCAGTCCGAAATTGATGTTCCGTTAAGTGTCAAATGCACACCCAGTATCACAGACAGCATGGATAAAAGAACGCAAACCTCTGCGTTTTTATACTGATTGCATGTCGAAATGATAACATTTGGGGTCAGCTGCGTTAAATAAAACACTATTAAAATTTAGTTCAACTGTTTATTTTTAAAGTGTGGCTGCATGGGGCTCCTGACTGGCTCAGTCTGTAGAGCATGAGCCTCTTGACATCAGGCTCGTGAGTTCAAACCCCATGTACTGCCTGTAGCCTACTTAAAAATAAATAAACAAAAATAAAATGTGGCTGGCCGAACATTTAAAATGACATGTGGCTTGCATCATATTTCTTTTTTTATCTGTTAAGGCAACTTTAATATAAATAGATGCTGCAAAAATAATACAGCAAAACAAAGCAATGCAGCCATACAAATGAACCAGTTCAGCTATTCAATATTTTTATGCTGTCTGTGATGATACATGTATCACTCAATGTAAAATAAGTTCTGGCATCATTCCTATCTGGGAGACACAACATTTACTTTACATTTATGATTTCAGCAGTATATGTTTATTATATTATGATTCAATGATAATCTGAAAAATCTTAAAAACCACCGTAAGAAAGAAAACCACACACACACAAAGAAAAAAAAACACAATGATCACATTCTGGAGAATGCCAGATGGACTGATCCTAAATATGTTTTGTTGAAGTATGGTAGACACACAATATTACATCGATTCCGGGTGTCCAACAGTGATTCCACAAGTCTACAGTTCACTGGCACTGTATTTCTTTTGGACAGCGCAGGTCTGAGGAAGGAGGATGGAAGGGTAAAAGACCAAAGAAGAGGGAGGGTGAGGGAAGGGTGGCTCTTAGTCTTTGAAAGAAAATTTTCTTTCTCTTATCTTATTTTTCGACCTCTGTAAGAATCGTCATCGACCTCAATTTCTGCTCCTTGTGCTGTCCTATAACGCAAAGTGCTTGTATTTGGATCTAGACGGTATTGTAGGTATCACCCAACAAAGATAGTAGAAGAGCCGATCATTTTTCCTCCTTGTCTTTCAAGAGCTTTGGAGAACAAGAGGTCACTTGTTTCCTGAGATCACTGCGCCTCACCAGTGTGTCCAGGCTCTCTCATTCGCAGAGGTCTACGTCCTCTGGTGATTGGCGGGCGGCAAATGCAGGCAGAACAAAGGCAGAGAGGGCTGGCGGTTAGCAGAGGCCTGCAGAATTTAGCGAGTGAACTCTTGGGACTAGAGAGGCAGGAAACGTTGTAGGAGAAAATGTACCAGTGATCAGAATTCGCAGCGTTGTGCGAGAAGGGAGAATGAACTTGACTACACGGACTGGAGCAGCCCTTGTAAAGATTTAGAAAACCGAATAAGGTTATCAGAAGGGGCACCACGTTTGTGAAGAGGAACGGGAAAGGGCAGCCGGGAAGCGGTAGGGTGGTCACGATTTGAAGGAACCAGAGCGTGTATAAAAATCTTGCGCTTCACCACTGCATTTCTACCCCTCTCTGGTAGCCTTTGGATGGAAAAAGTGTACGTGTTAAAATAAACGGGATGTTCCGCCAGCCTCCTCGGCCTGGGCCCGGGGAATCTAGCGGCTGCGCTAAGGCCCCCCGAGCGGGTACGCGGCGGGACTGGGCGCCCTACTGAGCGAGCAAAGGCGGCTAGCCTGGTGAGGGGACCGCGGGAGATGGCACCACGCCACCCTCCCACCCCCCACCCCGCTCCCCCGCTCCCCGCCGGGCTGGTGTGCCACCCAGCTCACCTACAGGACGCTGGTCCCCTCCCCTCCGCACATGCCAGAGACTGAAGCAGGAAAGAGCAGCAGTCAGCCTATTCGTGATCCTTTTTTCCCTCATCATCATCCTCATCTACAGCTCCGACTGTGGCTCTGAGGTCTTCCATTAAAGCTCCCTGCAGGGCCGTGTCTGTTAAACTCAGGAAATGAAGCATCACCGAGGGCTACGTCCCCATTCTCAGCAATAAGATGCAGCCCTCCTGGTGTCCCCACTGTGTGATCCTCGCCAGCTCCAACCACCTGCTGGGCCTGAAATGAAAGTGGCTTATTCTGGTGGATTCTTTGTGCTGCCTGCACTCTAGGAGTTGTCTTCTACTCCCCACCCCCACCACCCCTAAGATGCAGAAGCCCCAGGGCAGCCTTGTGCAAACCTTTCACTAGGCAGGCCTGGCTTTGCCCAACTCCAAGGCTCCCCTCCCCCATGTGCCAATTCGAAGACCTCTTCCAGAGGCCTGACTGCCACCTGTAACTAGAGACAGTTCTATTTCTTCCTTTCCGGTCCCTATGCCTTTTATTTCTTTTTCTTGCCTTGCACTAAATAGGATTTTCAATAGGATATTGAATAGAAGTACGAGGAGACATCCATATCTGTTGTCCATCTCAAGGAGAAAGCATTCAGTCTTTAACTGAATGCAGTATGGTAAGAGCTATAGGCTTTTTATATTTGTCCCTTTATCATATTAAGGAATTTCCTTTCTTTTCCTAGTTCACTGAGCGTTTTTATCATGACTGGATATTGAACTTTATCCAATGTTTTGGCAGTATTTCTTACTAAGACTATTAATATGATGCATTACATTGATATTTAAATATTGAATCAGTCATGCATTTCCAGAATAAACCTCACTTGGTTTGATAATGAGGGGGGCGGAAAAAGGCAGCAACAAAGCACTTGAAGCTATATTGTGGTGTGGAGTGCAGAATTTGCAAGGGTTTTAAAAGATACAATTCGAGAGAGAGAGAGAGAGAGAGAGAGAGAGAGAGAGAGAGAGAGGCAAACCAAGAAACAGAGGCTTAACTATAGAGAACAAACTGATGGTTATAAGAAGGGGGGGAGATGAGTGAAATAGGTGATGGGGATGAAGGAGGGCACCTGTTGTGATGAGTACCAAGTGTTGAGTGACAGTGTTGAATCACTATGTTGTACACCTAAAATTCATATTACACTCTGTTAACTGGAATTAAAACAAAAACTTTTAAAATAGAAAAAGATCAAAGAAATTAATTTCTTAATGTAGTCTATGCCCCAAACTCCAGGGAGACATGGGTTTCCCCTTCATTAGGAATATTTTAGTGGAAAGTGAAGAATACATTATTCATTTTATTTGCCTACTCGTCTCTCTCCCTCTACTGAAAGTCAGCTTCTTAAGCACAGGATCCTTTTTTCTTTCTTTCTTTCTTTCTTTCTTTCTTTCTTTCTTTCTTTCTTTCTTTTTTTTTTTTTTTTGTCTTCATATTCCTAACATGGACCCGGACACTTGGTAGGAGCATACTGGAGAAGAAATGTTTTCTCTACCCTTCAAGATTCTTTTTTTTCTTTAAGATTTTTTATTTACTTATTTGACAGAGAGGGAGAGAGGGAGAAGCAGACTCCATGCCAAGCAGAGAGCCCAACTCAGGGGATCAACCCCAGGACCCTGAGACCACAACTGGAGCAGAGTCTAAGGCAGACGCACAACTGACTAAGCCACCCAGGTGCCCCTACCCTTCAAGTTTCTTTTCACTGGTCTAAGAATTACACTGACATAAAACAGATTAACAGGAGAAAAATCTTATTTAATTACATACATATGGGTAATCCACAAAAACATGAGAGATTTCAAAAACAAAACAAGAAAAATGATGTATATTTGTCATTCTGAATTAAGGAGAAGGGGGTAGGGGCCTGGAGCTTCAAAAGGAAGCCACTCAATTCACAAGAAATTGAAAAAGAGTAAATGTTTTGTAAGCAAACATTTGCCAGGCTATACAGAAACAATGACACAGAAAAGAATTTTAACAGATTTTGCCAAGTTCCTCTCTGTCTTCCACACCTAGATTATGTTATACTATAGTTATCTGTGGCTATAGCTCCCTTTCTAGAACAGGTCCTCTATCTAGATTTTTTTGTGGGGGTGAAGAGGGAGAGGGAAAGAGAATCTTAAGCAGGTTCCATGCCCAGTAAAGAGCCCAACACGCAGGGCTCTATCTCATGACCCTGAGATCATGGCTTGAGCTGAAACCTAGTCAGACACTTAACTGACTGAGCCACCCAGGTGCCCCAAGATTCTTTTAGGTGGTTAAGGGTAAGGTAAAAAGAAAAAGAAGAAAAACTTCCTAGGACACCTGGCTGGCTCAGATGGAAGAGTATGTGCCTCTTGATCTCAGGGTCCTGAGTTCAAACCCCATGTTGGGTGGGGAGATTACTTACACATAAATAAAACTTTTAAAAATTTTTTGAAAAGAAGAGGGTAGGACGCCTGGGTGGCTAGGCGGTTGAGCGTCTGCCTTCAGCTCAAGGCGTGATCCCGGAGTCCTGGGATCAAGTTCCACATAGGGCTCCCTGCATGGAGCCTGCTGCTCCCTCTGCCTATGTCTCTGCCTCTGTGTGTGTGTGTGTGTGTGTGTGTCTCATGAATAAATTAAAAATCTTTTTAAAAAAGACTCAATTATAAAGAGAGAGAAGAAGGGAGAGCCTGGGCACCTGCCTTTGGCTGGTTATGATCCCAGTATCCTGGGAGCCAGCCCTGCATGGGGCTCCCTGCTCAGCAGGGGGGTCTGCTTCTCCTTCTCCCTCTGCCTGCTGCTCCCCCTGATTGTGTTCTCTCTCTCTCTCTCTCTCTCTCTCTCTCTCTCTCTGTCAAATAAAGAAAGAAAGAAAAGAAAACGAAAAAAGAAAAATCCCTGCTACAGTGTAAGTTACGTGGCTTTCATTCTTCCATCTTTTCATTTATTTGAATCAATGTATTCTGCTTTTGGGGGAGCACAATTTGACACTCCAAAATGCATGTC